GACAAATTTTAGACGTAATAATTACAAAACATTTGACAAATATTATACATTTGTCCACGTCAATGTTATTTGACCCATTTCTGTCTTTCGCACATGCAGACAAGCTCAGGCGGCAGGACAAATGTCTAATACGGAAGTAGAAGTCGGCATTGAGTTCAATCAAACTGCTTCGGCTGCTGAAATCCCACGGGCTGAAGACGTTGCAAAGACCTTAGTGGACGCTGTGAATAACCCCAACAGCACCTTCAACCTCTCTATTGATGCCGCTTCTGTCGCTGTAATTCGTAAGTATACAGTAGGCCTGCATTTCCTTTCCATGCCTGTGAAAGCAGAGAAATATACCCCATGTCGTCAATAAGGAATCCATCACTCCTCGCGTTGGGGTGTGTCATTTCCTGTTTCCTCGGTCACAAAGAGCATAGACAATCACACTTATCATGAAGTCCACGGTGACGTTAGCAAGACTATCTTTATCGTGACTTATCAGAGCTAATCTCTAGCGGCAATGTTTTTGTTTGATCAAGAAAAAGGTGCTCTGAATACCCTCATTTTTTGTGCGTAATTATTTGTTTTTATAGAAAGCAGTATCCCATCAAATACCACAACAGCAGCGCCTGCCACTGAAGCTCCCCGAAGAGTCGTTGTCCTCTCAGCTACTTTGCAACAAGCATTCGTAAAACAACTCAATGATAAAAACAGCACGGAATTCAGACAACTCGAGGCAACAGTTGTGACTGCGGTTAGTACTCACTGTCATCATTTCTCTGTGCATTGCTTTTGGAGGTTTTAGTCAACTTTGGAGAGTACTGTATTTCCAGTTTGTTCATGTTGTCCATTTATTCCTTTTTACAGTGTGATTCAATCTACACGACCAGATTCGGCGTCCTTTTCATCCGGACCTTTGTCATTGTGTTCAGGTAAAATTTCAAATGTTTCGAGTCCCACGCTCTGCAATGACAAATTTTAGACGTAATAATTACAAAACATTTGACAAATATTATACATTGGTCCACGTCAATGTTATTTGACCCATTTCTGTCTTTCGCACATGCAGACAAGCTCAGGCGGCAGGACAAATGTCTAATACGGAAGTAGAAGTCGGCATTGAGTTCAATCAAACTGCTTCGCTTGCTGAAATCCCACGGGCTGAAGACGTTGCAAAGACCTTAGTGGACGCTGTGAATAACCCCAACAGCACCTTCAACCTCTCTATTGATGCCGCTTCTGTCGCTGTAATTCGTAAGTATACAGTAGGCCTGAATTTCCTTCCCATGCCTGTGAAAGCAGAGAAATATACCCCATGTCGTCAATAAGGAATCCATCACTCCTCGCGTTGGGGTGTGTCATTTCCTGTTTCCTCGGTCACAAAGAGCATAGACAATCACACTTATCATGAAGTCCACGGTGACGTTGGCAAGACTATCTTCATCGTGACTTATCAGAGCTAAACTCTAGCAGCAATGTTTTTGTTTGATCAAGAAAAAGGTGCTCTGAATACCCTCATTTTTTGTGCGTAATTATTTGTTTTTATAGAAAGCAGTATCCCATCAAATACCACAACAGCAGCGCCTGCCACTGAAGCTCCCCGAAGAGTCGTTGTCCTCTCAGCTACTTTGCAACAAGCATTCGTAAAACAACTCAATGATAAAAACAGCACGGAATTCAGACAACTCGAGGCAACAGTTGTGACTGCGGTTAGTACTCACTGTCATCATTTCTCTGTGCATTGCTTTTGGAGGTTTTAGTCAACTTTGGAGAGTACTGTATTTCCAGTTTGTTCATGTTGTCCATTTATTCCTTTTTACAGTGTGATTCAATCTACACGACCAGATTCGGCGTCCTTTTCATCCGGACCTTTGTCATTGTGTTCAGGTAAAATTTCAAATGTTTCGAGTCCCACGCTCTGCAATGACAAATTTTAGACGTAATAATTACAAAACATTTGACAAATATTATACATCGGTCCACGTCAATGTTATTTGACCCATTTCTGTCTTTCGCACATGCAGACAAGCTCAGGCGGCAGGACAAATGTCTAATACGGAAGTAGAAGTCGGCATTGAGTTCAATCAAACTGCTTCGTCTGCTGAAATCCCACGGGCTGAAGACGTTGCAAAGACCTTAGTGGACGCTGTGAATAACCCCAACAGCACCTTCAACCTCTCTATTGATGCCGCTTCTGTCGCTGTAATTCGTAAGTATACAGTAGGCCTGCATTTCCTTCCCATGCCTGTGAAAGCAGAGAATATACCCCATGTCGTCATAAGGAATCCATCACTCCTCGCGTTGGGTGTGTCATTTCCTGTTTCCTCGGTCACAAAGAGCATAGACAATCACACTTATCATGAAGTCCACGGTGACGTTGGCAAGACTATCTTTATCGTGACTTATCAGAGCTAAACTCTAGCAGCAATGTTTTTGTTTGATCAAGAAAAAAGGTGCTCTGAATACCCTCATTTTTTGTGCGTAATTATTTGTTTTTATAGAAAGCAGTATCCCATCAAATACCACAACAGCAGCGCCTGCCACTGAAGCTCCCCGAAGAGTCGTTGTCCTCTCAGCTACTTTGCAACAAGCATTCGTAAAACAACTCAATGATAAAAACAGCACGGAATTCAGACAACTCGAGGCAACAGTTGTGACTGCGGTTAGTACTCACTGTCATCATTTCTCTGTGCATTGCTTTTGGAGGTTTTAGTCAACTATGGAGAGTACTGTATTTCCAGTTTGTTCATGTTGTCCATTTATTCCTTTTTACAGTGTGATTCAATCTACACGACCAGATTCGGCGTCCTTTTCATCCGGACCTTTGTCATTGTGTTCAGGTAAAATTTCAAATGTTTCGAGTCCCACGCTCTGCAATGACAAATTTTAGACGTAATAATTACAAAACATTTGACAAATATTATACATTTGTCCACGTCAATGTTATTTGACCCATTTCTGTCTTTCGCACATGCAGACAAGCTCAGGCGGCAGGACAAATGTCTAATACGGAAGTAGAAGTCGGCATTGAGTTCAATCAAACTGCTTCGCTTGCTGAAATCCCACGGGCTGAAGACGTTGCAAAGACCTTAGTGGACGCTGTGAATAACCCCAACAGCACCTTCAACCTCTCTATTGATGCCGCTTCTGTCGCTGTAATTCGTAAGTATACAGTAGGCCTGCATTTCCTTCCCATGCCTGTGAAAGCAGAGAAATATACCCCATGTCGTCAATAAGGAATCCATCACTCCTCGCGTTGGGGTGTGTCATTTCCTGTTTCCTCGGTCACAAAGAGCATAGACAATCACACTTATCATGAAGTCCACGGTGACGTTGGCAAGACTATCTTCATCGTGACTTATCAGAGCTAAACTCTAGCAGCAATGTTTTTGTTTGATCAAGAAAAAGGTGCTCTGAATACCCTCATTTTTTGTGCGTAATTATTTGTTTTTATAGAAAGCAGTATCCCATCAAATACCACAACAGCAGCGCCTGCCACTGAAGCTCCCCGAAGAGTCGTTGTCCTCTCAGCTACTTTGCAACAAGCATTCGTAAAACAACTCAATGATAAAAACAGCACGGAATTCAGACAACTCGAGGCAACAGTTGTGACTGCGGTTAGTACTCACTGTCATCATTTCTCTGTGGCATTGCTTTTGGAGGTTTTAGTCAACTATGGAGAGTACTGTATTTCCAGTTTGTTCATGTTGTCCATTTATTCCTTTTTACAGTGTGATTCAATCTACACGACCAGATTCGGCGTCTTTTCATCCGGACCTTTGTCATTGTGTTCAGGTAAAATTTCAAATGTTTCGAGTCCCACGCTCTGCAATGACAAATTTTAGACGTAATAATTACAAAACATTTGACAAAATATTATACATTGGTCACGTCAAATGTTATTTGACCCATTTCTGTCTTTCGCACATGCAGACAAGCTCAGGCGGCAGGACAAATGTCTAATACGGAAGTAGAAGTCGGCATTGAGTTCAATCAAACTGCTTCGGTTGCTGAAATCCCACGGGCTGAAGACGTTGCAAAGACCTTAGTGGACGCTGTGAATAACCCCAACAGCACCTTCAACCTCTCTATTGATGCCGCTTCTGTCGCTGTAAATTCGTAAGTATACAGTAGGCCTGCATTTCCTTCCCATGCCTGTGAAAGCAGAGAAATATACCCCATGTCGTCAATAAGGAATCCATCACTCCTCGCGTTGGGGTGTGTCATTTCCTGTTTCCTCGGTCACAAAGAGCATAGACAATCACACTTATCATGAAGTCCACGGTGACGTTGGCAAGACAATCTTCATCGTGACTTATCAGAGCTAAACTCTAGCGGCAATGTTTTTGTTTGATCAAGAAAAAGGTGCTCTGAATACCCTCATTTTTTGTGCGTAATTATTTGTTTTTATAGAAAGCAGTATCCCATCAAATACCACAACAGCAGCGCCTGCCACTGAAGCTCCCCGAAGAGTCGTTGTCCTCTCAGCTACTTTGCAACAAGCATTCGTAAAACAGCTCAATGATAAAAACAGCACGGAATTCAGACAACTCGAGGCAACAGTTGTGACTGCGGTTAGTACTCACTGTCATCATTTCTCTGTGCATTGCTTTTGGAGGTTTTAGTCAACTATGGAGAGTACTGTATTTCCAGTTTGTTCATGTTGTCCATTTATTCCTTTTTACAGTGTGATTCAATCTACACGACCAGATTCGGCGTCCTTTTCATCCGGACCTTTGTCATTGTGTTCAGGTAAAATTTCAAATGTTTCGAGTCCCACGCTCTGCAATGACAAATTTTAGACGTAATAATTACAAAACATTTGACAAATATTATACATTGGTCCACGTCAATGTTATTTGACCCATTTCTGTCTTTCGCACATGCAGACAAGCTCAGGCGGCAGGACAAATGTCTAATACGGAAGTAGAAGTCGGCATTGAGTTCAATCAAACTGCTTCGCTTGCTGAAATCCCACGGGCTGAAGACGTTGCAAAGACCTTAGTGGACGCTGTGAATAACCCCAACAGCACCTTCAACCTCTCTATTGATGCCGCTTCTGTCGCTGTAATTCGTAAGTATACAGTAGGCCTGCATTTCCTTCCCATGCCTGTGAAAGCAGAGAAATATACCCCATGTCGTCAATAAGGAATCCATCACTCCTCGCGTTGGGGTGTGTCATTTCCTGTTTCCTCGGTCACAAAGAGCATAGACAATCACACTTATCATGAAGTCCACGGTGACGTTGGCAAGACTATCTTCATCGTGACTTATCAGAGCTAAACTCTAGCAGCAATGTTTTTGTTTGCTCAAGAAAAAGGTGCTCTGAATACCCTCATTTTTTGTGCGTAATTATTTGTTTTTATAGAAAGCAGTATCCCATCAAATACCACAACAGCAGCGCCTGCCACTGAAGCTCCCCGAAGAGTCGTTGTCCTCTCAGCTACTTTGCAACAAGCATTCGTAAAACAACTCAATGATAAAAACAGCACGGAATTCAGACAACTCGAGGCAACAGTTGTGACTGCGGTTAGTACTCACTGTCATCATTTCTCTGTGCATTGCTTTTGGAGGTTTTAGTCAACTTTGGAGAGTACTGTATTTCCAGTTTGTTCATGTTGTCCATTTATTCCTTTTTACAGTGTGATTCAATCTACACGACCAGATTCGGCGTCCTTTTCATCCGGACCTTTGTCATTGTGTTCAGGTAAAATTTCAAATGTTTCGAGTCCCACGCTCTGCAATGACAAATTTTAGACGTAATAATTACAAAACATTTGACAAATATTATACATTGGTCCACGTCAATGTTATTTGACCCATTTCTGTCTTTCGCACATGCAGACAAGCTCAGGCGGCAGGACAAATGTCTAATACGGAAGTAGAAGTCGGCATTGAGTTCAATCAAACTGCTTCGCTTGCTGAAATCCCACGGGCTGAAGACGTTGCAAAGACCTTAGTGGACGCTGTGAATAACCCCAACAGCACCTTCAACCTCTCTATTGATGCCGCTTCTGTCGCTGTAATTCGTAAGTATACAGTAGGCCTGCATTTCCTTCCCATGCCTGTGAAAGCAGAGAAATATACCCCATGTCGTCAATAAGGAATCCATCACTCCTCGCGTTGGGGTGTGTCATTTCCTGTTTCCTCGGTCACAAAGAGCATAGACAATCACACTTATCATGAAGTCCACGGTGACGTTAGCAAGACTATCTTTATCGTGACTTATCAGAGCTAAACTCTAGCGGCAATGTTTTTGTTTGATCAAGAAAAAGGTGCTCTGAATACCCTCATTTTTTGTGCGTAATTATTTGTTTTTATAGAAAGCAGTATCCCATCAAATACCACAACAGCAGCGCCTGCGAATGAAGCTCCCCGAAGAGTCGTTGTCCTCTCAGCTACTTTGCAACAAGCATTCGTAAAACAACTCAATGATAAAAACAGCACGGAATTCAGACAACTCGAGGCAACAGTTGTGACTGCGGTTAGTACTCACTGTCATCATTTCTCTGTGCATTGCTTTTGGAGGTTTTAGTCAACTTTGGAGAGTACTGTATTTCCAGTTTGTTCATGTTGTCCATTTATTCCTTTTTACAGTGTGATTCAATCTACACGACCAGATTCGGCGTCCTTTTCATCCGGACCTTTGTCATTGTGTTCAGGTAAAATTTCAAATGTTTCGAGTCCCACGCTCTGCAATGACAAATTTTAGACGTAATAATTACAAAACATTTGACAAATATTATACATTGGTCCACGTCAATGTTATTTGACCCATTTCTGTCTTTCGCACATGCAGACAAGCTCAGGCGGCAGGACAAATGTCTAATACGGAAGTAGAAGTCGGCATTGAGTTCAATCAAACTGCTTCGGTTGCTGAAATCCCACGGGCTGAAGACGTTGCAAAGACCTTAGTGGACGCTGTGAATAACCCCAACAGCACCTTCAACCTCTCTATTGATGCCGCTTCTGTCGCTGTAATTCGTAAGTATACAGTAGGCCTGCATTTCCTTCCCATGCCTGTGAAAGCAGAGAAATATACCCCATGTCGTCAATAAGGAATCCATCACTCCTCGCGTTGGGGTGTGTCATTTCCTGTTTCCTCGGTCACAAAGAGCATAGACAATCACACTTATCATGAAGTCCACGGTGACGTTGGCAAGACTATCTTCATCGTGACTTATCAGAGCTAAACTCTAGCGGCAATGTTTTTGTTTGATCAAGAAAAAGGTGCTCTGAATACCCTCATTTTTTGTGCGTAATTATTTGTTTTTATAGAAAGCAGTATCCCATCAAATACCACAACAGCAGCGCCTGCCACTGAAGCTCCCCGAAGAGTCGTTGTCCTCTCAGCTACTTTGCAACAAGCATTCGTAAAACAACTCAATGATAAAAACAGCACGGAATTCAGACAACTCGAGGCAACAGTTGTGACTGCGGTTAGTACTCACTGTCATCATTTCTCTGTGCATTGCTTTTGGAGGTTTTAGTCAACTTTGGAGAGTACTGTATTTCCAGTTTGTTCATGTTGTCCATTTATTCCTTTTTACAGTGTGATTCAATCTACACGACCAGATTCGGCGTCCTTTTCATCCGGACCTTTGTCATTGTGTTCAGGTAAAATTTCAAATGTTTCGAGTCCCACGCTCTGCAATGACAAATTTTAGACGTAATAATTACAAAACATTTGACAAATATTATACATTTGTCCACGTCAATGTTATTTGACCCATTTCTGTCTTTCGCACATGCAGACAAGCTCAGGCGGCAGGACAAATGTCTAATACGGAAGTAGAAGTCGGCATTGAGTTCAATCAAACTGCTTCGGTTGCTGAAATCCCACGGGCTGAAGACGTTGCAAAGACCTTAGTGGACGCTGTGAATAACCCCAACAGCACCTTCAACCTCTCTATTGATGCCGCTTCTGTCGCTGTAATTCGTAAGTATACAGTAGGCCTGCATTTCCTTCCCATGCCTGTGAAAGCAGAGAAATATACCCCATGTCGTCAATAAGGAATCCATCACTCCTCGCGTTGGGGTGTGTCATTTCCTGTTTCCTCGGTCACAAAGAGCATAGACAATCACACTTATCATGAAGTCCACGGTGACGTTGGCAAGACAATCTTTATCGTGACTTATCAGAGCTAAACTCTAGCGGCAATGTTTTTGTTTGATCAAGAAAAAGGTGCTCTGAATACCCTCATTTTTTGTGCGTAATTATTTGTTTTTATAGAAAGCAGTATCCCATCAAATACCACAACAGCAGCGCCTGCCACTGAAGCTCCCCGAAGAGTCGTTGTCCTCTCAGCTACTTTGCAACAAGCATTCGTAAAACAGCTCAATGATAAAAACAGCACGGAATTCAGACAACTCGAGGCAACAGTTGTGACTGCGGTTAGTACTCACTGTCATCATTTCTCTGTGCATTGCTTTTGGAGGTTTTAGTCAACTATGGAGAGTACTGTATTTCCAGTTTGTTCATGTTGTCCATTTATTCCTTTTTACAGTGTGATTCAATCTACACGACCAGATTCGGCGTCCTTTTCATCCGGACCTTTGTCATTGTGTTCAGGTAAAATTTCAAATGTTTCGAGTCCCACGCTCTGCAATGACAAATTTTAGACGTAATAATTACAAAACATTTGACAAATATTATACATTGGTCCACGTCAATGTTATTTGACCCATTTCTGTCTTTCGCACATGCAGACAAGCTCAGGCGGCAGGACAAATGTCTAATACGGAAGTAGAAGTCGGCATTGAGTTCAATCAAACTGCTTCGGTTGCTGAAATCCCACGGGCTGAAGACGTTGCAAAGACCTTAGTGGACGCTGTGAATAACCCCAACAGCACCTTCAACCTCTCTATTGATGCCGCTTCTGTCGCTGTAATTCGTAAGTATACAGTAGGCCTGCATTTCCTTCCCATGCCTGTGAAAGCAGAGAAATATACCCCATGTCGTCAATAAGGAATCCATCACTCCTCGCGTTGGGGTGTGTCATTTCCTGTTTCCTCGGTCACAAAGAGCATAGACAATCACACTTATCATGAAGTCCACGGTGACGTTGGCAAGACTATCTTCATCGTGACTTATCAGAGCTAAACTCTAGCAGCAATGTTTTTGTTTGATCAAGAAAAAGGTGCTCTGAATACCCTCATTTTTTGTGCGTAATTATTTGTTTTTATAGAAAGCAGTATCCCATCAAATACCACAACAGCAGCGCCTGCCACTGAAGCTCCCCGAAGAGTCGTTGTCCTCTCAGCTACTTTGCAACAAGCATTCGTAAAACAACTCAATGATAAAAACAGCACGGAATTCAGACAACTCGAGGCAACAGTTGTGACTGCGGTTAGTACTCACTGTCATCATTTCTCTGTGCATTGCTTTTGGAGGTTTTAGTCAACTTTGGAGAGTACTGTATTTCCAGTTTGTTCATGTTGTCCATTTATTCCTTTTTACAGTGTGATTCAATCTACACGACCAGATTCGGCGTCCTTTTCATCCGGACCTTTGTCATTGTGTTCAGGTAAAATTTCAAATGTTTCGAGTCCCACGCTCTGCAATGACAAATTTTAGACGTAATAATTACAAAACATTTGACAAATATTATACATTGGTCCACGTCAATGTTATTTGACCCATTTCTGTCTTTCGCACATGCAGACAAGCTCAGGCGGCAGGACAAATGTCTAATACGGAAGTAGAAGTCGGCATTGAGTTCAATCAAACTGCTTCGGCTGCTGAAATCCCACGGGCTGAAGACGTTGCAAAGACCTTAGTGGACGCTGTGAATAACCCCAACAGCACCTTCAACCTCTCTATTGATGCCGCTTCTGTCGCTGTAATTCGTAAGTATACAGTAGGCCTGCATTTCCTTCCCATGCCTGTGAAAGCAGAGAAATATACCCCATGTCGTCAATAAGGAATCCATCACTCCTCGCGTTGGGGTGTGTCATTTCCTGTTTCCTCGGTCACAAAGAGCAAAGACAATCACACTTATCATGAAGTCCACGGTGACGTTGGCAAGACTATCTTTATCGTGACTTATCAGAGCTAAACTCTAGCGGCAATGTTTTTGTTTGATCAAGAAAAAGGTGCTCTGAATACCCTCATTTTTTGTGCGTAATTATTTGTTTTTATAGAAAGCAGTATCCCATCAAATACCACAACAGCAGCGCCTGCCACTGAAGCTCCCCGAAGAGTCGTTGTCCTCTCAGCTACTTTGCAACAAGCATTCGTAAAACAACTCAATGATAAAAACAGCACGGAATTCAGACAACTCGAGGCAACAGTTGTGACTGCGGTTAGTACTCACTGTCATCATTTCTCTGTGCATTGCTTTTGGAGGTTTTAATCAACTTTGGAGAGTACTGTATTTCCAGTTTGTTCATGTTGTCCATTTATTCCTTTTTACAGTGTGATTCAATCTACACGACCAGATTCGGCGTCCTTTTCATCCGGACCTTTGTCATTGTGTTCAGGTAAAATTTCAAATGTTTCGAGTCCCACGCTCTGCAATGACAAATTTTAGACGTAATAATTACAAAACATTTGACAAATATTATACATTGGTCCACGTCAATGTTATTTGACCAATTTCTGTCTTTCGCACATGCAGACAAGCTCAGGCGGCAGGACAAATGTCTAATACGGAAGTAGAAGTCGGCATTGAGTTCAATCAAACTGCTTCGCTTGCTGAAATCCCACGGGCTGAAGACGTTGCAAAGACCTTAGTGGACGCTGTGAATAACCCCAACAGCACCTTCAACCTCTCTATTGATGCCGCTTCTGTCGCTGTAATTCGTAAGTATACAGTAGGCCTGCATTTCCTTCCCATGCCTGTGAAAGCAGAGAAATATACCCCATGTCGTCAATAAGGAATCCATCACTCCTCGCGTTGGGGTGTGTCATTTCCTGTTTCCTCGGTCACAAAGAGCATAGACAATCACACTTATCATGAAGTCCACGGTGACGTTGGCAAGACAATCTTTATCGTGACTTATCAGAGCTAATCTCTAGCGGCAATGTTTTTGTTTGATCAAGAAAAAGGTGCTCTGAATACCCTCATTTTTTGTGCGTAAATATTTGTTTTTATAGAAAGCAGTATCCCATCAAATACCACAACAGCAGCGCCTGCCACTGAAGCTCCCCGAAGAGTCGTTGTCCTCTCAGCTACTTTGCAACAAGCATTCGTAAAACAACTCAATGATAAAAACAGCACGGAATTCAGACAACTCGAGGCAACAGTTGTGACTGCGGTTAGTACTCACTGTCATCATTTCTCTGTGCATTGCTTTTGGAGGTTTTAGTCAACTTTGGAGAGTACTGTATTTCCAGTTTGTTCATGTTGTCCATTTATTCCTTTTTACAGTGTGATTCAATCTACTCGACCAGATTCGGCGTCCTTTTCATCCGGACCTTTGTCATTGTGTTCAGGTAAAATTTCAAATGTTTCGAGTCCCACGCTCTGCAATGACAAATTTTAGACGTAATAATTACAAAACATTTGACAAATATTATACATTGGTCCACGTCAATGTTATTTGACCCATTTCTGTCTTTCGCACATGCAGACAAGCTCAGGCGGCAGGACAAATGTCTAATACGGAAGTAGAAGTCGGCATTGAGTTCAATCAAACTGCTTCGGCTGCTGAAATCCCACGGGCTGAAGACGTTGCAAAGACCTTAGTGGACGCTGTGAATAACCCCAACAGCACCTTCAACCTCTCTATTGATGCCGCTTCTGTCGCTGTAATTCGTAAGTATACAGTAGGCCTGCATTTCCTTCCCATGCCTGTGAAAGCAGAGAAATATACCCCATGTCGTCAATAAGGAATCCATCACTCCTCGCGTTGGGGTGTGTCATTTCCTGTTTCCTCGGTCACAAAGAGCATAGACAATCACACTTATCATGAAGTCCACGGTGACGTTGGCAAGACTATCTTTATCGTGACTTATCAGAGCTAAACTCTAGCGGCAATGTTTTTGTTTGATCAAGAAAAAGGTGCTCTGAATACCCTCATTTTTTGTGCGTAATTATTTGTTTTTATAGAAAGCAGTATCCCATCAAATACCACAACAGCAGCGCCTGCCACTGAAGCTCCCCGAAGAGTCGTTGTCCTCTCAGCTACTTTGCAACAAGCATTCGTAAAACAGCTCAATGATAAAAACAGCACGGAATTCAGACAACTCGAGGCAACAGTTGTGACTGCGGTTAGTACTCACTGTCATCATTTCTCTGTGCATTGCTTTTGGAGGTTTTAGTCAACTTTGGAGAGTACTGTATTTCCAGTTTGTTCATGTTGTCCATTTATTCCTTTTTACAGTGTGATTCAATCTACACGACCAGATTCGGCGTCCTTTTCATCCGGACCTTTGTCATTGTGTTCAGGTAAAATTTCAAATGTTTCGAGTCCCACGCTCTGCAATGACAAATTTTAGACGTAATAATTACAAAACATTTGACAAATATTATACATTGGTCCACGTCAATGTTATTTGACCCATTTCTGTCTTTCGCACATGCAGACAAGCTCAGGCGGCAGGACAAATGTCTAATACGGAAGTAGAAGTCGGCATTGAGTTCAATCAAACTGCTTCGGTTGCTGAAATCCCACGGGCTGAAGACGTTGCAAAGACCTTAGTGGACGCTGTGAATAACCCCAACAGCACCTTCAACCTCTCTATTGATGCCGCTTCTGTCGCTGTAATTCGTAAGTATACAGTAGGCCTGCATTTCCTTCCCATGCCTGTGAAAGCAGAGAAATATACCCCATGTCGTCAATAAGGAATCCATCACTCCTCGCGTTGGGGTGTGTCATTTCCTGTTTCCTCGGTCACAAAGAGCATAGACAATCACACTTATCATGAAGTCCACGGTGACGTTGGCAAGACTATCTTCATCGTGACTTATCAGAGCTAAACTCTAGCAGCAATGTTTTTGTTTGATCAAGAAAAAGGTGCTCTGAATACCCTCATTTTTTGTGCGTAATTATTTGTTTTTATAGAAAGCAGTATCCCATCAAATACCACAACAGCAGCGCCTGCCACTGAAGCTCCCCGAAGAGTCGTTGTCCTCTCAGCTACTTTGCAACAAGCATTCGTAAAACAACTCAATGATAAAAACAGCACGGAATTCAGACAACTCGAGGCAACAGTTGTGACTGCGGTTAGTACTCACTGTCATCATTTCTCTGTGCATTGCTTTTGGAGGTTTTAGTCAACTTTGGAGAGTACTGTATTTCCAGTTTGTTCATGTTGTCCATTTATTCCTTTTTACAGTGTGATTCAATCTACACGACCAGATTCGGCGTCCTTTTCATCCGGACCTTTGTCATTGTGTTCAGGTAAAATTTCAAATGTTTCGAGTCCCACGCTCTGCAATGACAAATTTTAGACGTAATAATTACAAAACATTTGACAAATATTATACATTGGTCCACGTCAATGTTATTTGACCCATTTCTGTCTTTCGCACATGCAGACAAGCTCAGGCGGCAGGACAAATGTCTAATACGGAAGTAGAGGTCGGCATTGAGTTCAATCAAACTGCTTCGGCTGCTGAAATCCCACGGGCTGAAGACGTTGCAAAGACCTTAGTGGACGCTGTGAATAACCCCAACAGCACCTTCAACCTCTCTATTGATGCCGCTTCTGTCGCTGTAATTCGTAAGTATACAGTAGGCCTGCATTTCCTTCCCATGCCTGTGAAAGCAGAGAAATATACCCCATGTCGTCAATAAGGAATCCATCACTCCTCGCGTTGGGGTGTGTCATTTCCTGTTTCCTCGGTCACAAAGAGCATAGACAATCACACTTATCATGAAGTCCACGGTGACGTTGGCAAGACTATCTTCATCGTGACTTATCAGAGCTAAACTCTAGCAGCAATGTTTTTGTTTGATCAAGAAAAAGGTGCTCTGAATACCCTCATTTTTTGTGCGTAATTATTTGTTTTTATAGAAAGCAGTATCCCATCAAATACCACAACAGCAGCGCCTGCCACTGAAGCTCCCCGAAGAGTCGTTGTCCTCTCAGCTACTTTGCAACAAGCATTCGTAAAACAACTCAATGATAAAAACAGCACGGAATTCAGACAACTCGAGGCAACAGTTGTGACTGCGGTTAGTACTCACTGTCATCATTTCTCTGTGCATTGCTTTTGGAGGTTTTAGTCAACTTTGGAGAGTACTGTATTTCCAGTTTGTTCATGTTGTCCATTTATTCCTTTTTACAGTGTGATTCAATCTACACGACCAGATTCGGCGTCCTTTTCATCCGGACCTTTGTCATTGTGTTCAGGTAAAATTTCAAATGTTTCGAGTCCCACGCTCTGCAATGACAAATTTTAGACGTAATAATTACAAAACATTTGACAAATATTATACATTGGTCCACGTCAATGTTATTTGACCCATTTCTGTCTTTCGCACATGCAGACAAGCTCAGGCGGCAGGACAAATGTCTAATACGGAAGTAGAAGTCGGCATTGAGTTCAATCAAACTGCTTCGGCTGCTGAAATCCCACGGGCTGAAGACGTTGCAAAGACCTTAGTGGACGCTGTGAATAACCCCAACAGCACCTTCAACCTCTCTATTGATGCCGCTTCTGTCGCTGTAATTCGTAAGTATACAGTAGGCCTGCATTTCCTTCCCATGCCTGTGAAAGCAGAGAAATATACCCCATGTCGTCAATAAGGAATCCATCACTCCTCGCGTTGGGGTGTGTCATTTCCTGTTTCCTCGGTCACAAAGAGCATAGACAATCACACTTATCATGAGGTCCACGGTGACGTTGGCAAGACAATCTTTATCGTGACTTATCAGAGCTAAACTCTAGCAGCAATGTTTTTGTTTGATCAAGAAAAAGGTGCTCTAAATACCCTCATTTTTTGTCCGTCATTATTCTTTTTATAGAAAGCAGTATTCCGTCAAGTACCCCAACAACAGTGCCTGCTCTGAATACTACGGCCAATGCAAGTACAACGAGTGGAACAAACAACACATCTACAACCAACACATCCGCAATGACACCTTTAACTGTAGCACCTGCAACTTCAGTAACATCGGCAACTATTACTGAAGCGCCTGCACGAGTGTTTGTCCTCTCAGCTACTTTGCAACAACCATTCATAGAAGAACTCAATGATCGGACCAGCCAGCAATTCAGGAATCTCGAGGCAACAGTTGTGACTGCGGTTAGTACTCACTGTCATCATTTCTCTGTGCATTGCTTTTGGAGGTTTTAGTCAACTTTGGAGAGTACTGTATTTCCAGTTTGTTCATGTTGTCCATTTATTCCTTTTTACAGTGTGATTCAATCTACACGACCAGATTCGGCGTCCTTTTCATCCGGACCTTTGTCATTGTGTTCAGGTAAAATTTCAAATGTTTCGAGTCCCACGCTCTGCAATGACAAATTTTAGACGTAATAATTACAAAACATTTGACAAATATTATACATTGGTCCACGTCAATGTTATTTGACCCATTTCTGTCTTTCGCACATGCAGACAAGCTCAGGCGGCAGGACAAATGTCTAATACGGAAGTAGAAGTCGGCATTGAGTTCAATCAAACTGCTTCGCTTGCTGAAATCCCACGGGCTGAAGACGTTGCAAAGACCTTAGTGGACGCTGTGAATAACCCCAACAGCACCTTCAACCTCTCTATTGATGCCGCTTCTGTCGCTGTAATTCGTAAGTATACAGTAGGCCTGCATTTCCTTCCCATGCCTGTGAAAGCAGAGAAATATACCCCATGTCGTCAATAAGGAATCCATCACTCCTCGCGTTGGGGTGTGTCATTTCCTGTTTCCTCGGTCACAAAGAGCATAGACAATCACACTTATCATGAAGTCCACGGTGACGTTGGCAAGACTATCTTTATCGTGACTTATCAGAGCTAAACTCTAGCAGCAATGTTTTTGTTTGATCAAGAAAAAGGTGCTCTAAATACCCTCATTTTTTGTCCGTCATTATTCTTTTTATAGAAAGCAGTATTCCGTCAAGTACCCCAACAACAGTGCCTGCTCTGAATACTACGGCCAATGCAAGTACAACGAGTGGAACAAACAACACATCTACAACCAACACATCCGCAATGACACCTTTAACTGTAGCACCTGCAACTTCAGTAACATCGGCAACTATTACTGAAGCGCCTGCACGAGTGTTTGTCCTCTCAGCTACTTTGCAACAACCATTCATAGAAGAACTCAATGATCGGACCAGCCAGCAATTCAGGAATCTCGAGGCAACAGTTGTGACTGCGGTTAGTACTCACTGTCATCATTTCTCTGTGCATTGCTTTTGGAGGTTTTAGTCAACTTTGGAGAGTACTGTATTTCCAGTTTGTTCATGTTGTCCATTTATTCCTTTTTACAGTGTGATTCAATCTACACGACCAGATTCGGCGTCCTTTTCATCCGGACCTTTGTCATTGTGTTCAGGTAAAATTTCAAATGTTTCGAGTCCCACGCTCTGCAATGACAAATTTTAGACGTAATAATTACAAAACATTTGACAAATATTATACATTGGTCCACGTCAATGTTATTTGACCCATTTCTGTCTTTCGCACATGCAGACAAGCTCAGGCGGCAGGACAAATGTCTAATACGGAAGTAGAAGTCGGCATTGAGTTCAATCAAACTGCTTCGCTTGCTGAAATCCCACGGGCTGAAGACGTTGCAAAGACCTTAGTGGACGCTGTGAATAACCCCAACAGCACCTTCAACCTCTCTATTGATGCCGCTTCTGTCGCTGTAATTCGTAAGTATACAGTAGGCCTGCATTTCCTTCCCATGCCTGTGAAAGCAGAGAAATATACCCCATGTCGTCAATAAGGAATCCATCACTCCTCGCGTTGGGGTGTGTCATTTCCTGTTTCCTCGGTCACAAAGAGCATAGACAATCACACTTATCATGAAGTCCACGGTGACGTTGGCAAGACAATCTTTATCGTGACTTATCAGAGCTAAACTCTAGCGGCAATGTTTTTGTTTGATCAAGAAAAAGGTGCTCTGAATACCCTCATTTTTTGTGCGTAATTATTTGTTTTTATAGAAAGCAGTATCCCATCAAATACCACAACAGCAGCGCCTGCCACTGAAGCTCCCCGAAGAGTCGTTGTCCTCTCAGCTACTTTGCAACAAGCATTCGTAAAACAGCTCAATGATAAAAACAGCACGGAATTCAGACAACTCGAGGCAACAGTTGTGACTGCGGTTAGTACTCACTGTCATCATTTCTCTGTGCATTGCTTTTGGAGGTTTTAGTCAACTATGGAGAGTACTGTATTTCCAGTTTGTTCATGTTGTCCATTTATTCCTTTTTACAGTGTGATTCAATCTACACGACCAGATTCGGCGTCCTTTTCATCCGGACCTTTGTCATTGTGTTCAGGTAAAATTTCAAATGTTTCGAGTCCCACGCTCTGCAATGACAAATTTTAGACGTAATAATTACAAAACATTTGACAAATATTATACATTGGTCCACGTCAATGTTATTTGACCCATTTCTGTCTTTCGCACATGCAGACAAGCTCAGGCGGCAGGACAAATGTCTAATACGGAAGTAGAGGTCGGCATTGAATTCAATCAAACTGCTTCGCTTGCTGAAATCCCACGGGCTGAAGACGTTGCAAAGACCTTAGTGGACGCTGTGAATAACCCCAACAACACCTTCAACCTCTCTATTGATGCCGCTTCTGTCGCTGTAATTCGTAAGTATACAGTAGGCCTGCATTTCCTTCCCATGCCTGTGAAAGCAGAGAAATATACCCCATGTCGTCAATAAGGAATCCATCACTCCTCGCGTTGGGGTGTGTCATTTCCTGTTTCCTCGGTCACAAAGAGCATAGACAATCACACTTATCATGAGGTCCACGGTGACGTTGGCAAGACTATCTTTATCGTGACTTATCAGAGCTAAACTCTAGCAGCAATGTTTTTGTTTGATCAAGAAAAAGGTGCTCTAAATACCCTCATTTTTTGTCCGTCATTATTCTTTTTATAGAAAGCAGTATTCCGTCAAGTACCCCAACAACAGTGCCTGCTCTGAATACTACGGCCAATGCAAGTACAACGAGTGGAACAAACAACACATCTACAACCAACACATCCGCAATGACACCTTTAACTGTAGCACCTGCAACTTCAGTAACATCGGCAACTATTACTGAAGCGCCTGCACGAGTGTTTGTCCTCTCAGCTACTTTGCAACAACCATTCATAGAAGAACTCAATGATCGGACCAGCCAGCAATTCAGGAATCTCGAGGCAACAGTTGTGACTGCGGTTAGTACTCACTGTCATCATTTCTCTGTGCATTGCTTTTGGAGGTTTTAGTCAACTTTGGAGAGTACTGTATTCCCAGTTTGTTCATGTTGTCCATTTATTCCTTTTTACAGTGTGATTCAATCTACACGACCAGATTCGGCGTCCTTTTCATCCGGACCTTTGTCATTGTGTTCAGGTAAAATTTCAAATGTTTCGAGTCCCACGGTCTGCAATGACAAATTTTAGACGTAATAATTACAAAACATTTGACAAATATTATACATTTGTCCACGTCAATGTTATTTGACCCATTTCTGTCTCTCGCACATGCAGACAAGCTCAGGCGGCAGGACAAATGTCTAATACTGAAGTAGAAGTCGGCATTGAGTTCAATCAAACTGCTTCGCTTGCTGAAATCCCACGGGCTGAAGACGTCGCAAAGACCTTAGTGGACGCTGTGAATAACCCCAACAGCACCTTCAACCTCTCTATTGATGCCGCTTCTGTCGCTGTAATTCGTAAGTATACAGTAGGCCTGCATTTCCTTCCCATGCCTGTGAAAGCAGAGAAATATACCCCATGTCGTCAATAAGGAATCCATCACTCCTCGCGTTGGGGTGTGTCATTTCCTGTTTCCTCGGTCACAAAGAGCATAGACAATCACACTTATCATGAAGTCCACGGTGACCTTAGCAAGACTATCTTTATCGTGACTTATCAGAGCTAAACTCTAGCGGCAATGTTTTTGTTTGATCAAGAAAAAGGTGCTCTGAATACCCTCATTTTTTGTCCGTCATTATTTCTTTTTATAGAAAGCAGTATTCCGTCAAGTACCCCAACAACAGTGCCTGCTCTGAATACTACGGCCAATGCAAGTACAACGAGTGGAACAAACAACACATCTACAACCAACACATCCGCAATGACACCTTTAACTGTAGCACCTGCAACTTCAGTAACATCGGCAACTATTACTGAAGCGCCTGCACGAGTGTTTGTCCTCTCAGCTACTTTGCAACAACCATTCATAGAAGAACTCAATGATCGGACCAGCCAGCAATTCAGGAATCTCGAGGCAACAGTTGTGACTGCGGTTAGTACTCACTGTTATCATTTGTCTTTGTGTTTTTATGGCAGTTTTTCACAAAATTTGGGATATTACTGTATTTCCAGTTTGTTTATGTTCTGCATTTTCTTTATTTCTACAGTGTGATTTAATCTACAGAACCAGATTTGGTTTATTTTTTGTCCGCACCTTTGTGATCTTTTTCAGGTAACATTTCGAATGTTGAGAGTCCTACTGTATTTATTCACAATATTTTGAATTTGAATGATAACACAATAAAATGAAATATGTCATCATGCAGCGGTTGTTTCTGTTAACATTATTTGATTCTACATGTCTTTTCACGTTACAGACCAGGTCCAGCAGTGACCCGAATATCAACAACCGAAGTAGAGGTCGGCATTGAGTTCAATCAAACTGCTCCGGCTGCTGAAATCCCACGGGCTGAAGACGTTGCAAAGACCTTAGTGGACGCTGTGAATAACCCCAACAGCACCTTCAACCTCTCTATTGATGCTACGTCTGTCACTGTAATTCGTAAGTATACAGTAGGCCTGCATTTTATCGTAATGCAAATTAATTCACCACATGCCATTAGCAAGTAATCTGCCAGAGTCTGAGTTGGTTTGTGTGCTTTTCTGATCCCTCTTTGAAAAATCGCTTGTTTGACAAAGAACACACAATCTAAATATAAATATCATGAAGTCTTCAGTGGCGGACTTCATGATTAGCAGGACTACTTAGACTGATTTACCAAAAAGATACTCATGTTGTAATGTTTAGGTTTGATCAAGAATCAAGATTGAAAGATCAATATGCCCTCTGCATATCGTTATTCACTCCATCTTACATTACATTACATTACATGTCATTTAGCGGACGCTTTTATCCAAAGCGACGTACAATAAGTGCATTCAACCATAGGGTACAAACTCAGGAGAACAAGAAACAAGAAAGTGCAATTTCCTCAAATAAGCCAATTTACAATTTGCTATAGATGAGTGACGTTGAGTGATCTTGACTCCATCTTTATTTACTTTACTTTTTTACAGAAATAAACATGACATCAAATTCTACAACTGCACCTCCCACCTTGAATACTACAGCTAATGCAAGTATGAGTACTGCAACCAGAACTCCTCCAACCACCACAATCGCAGTGGTACCTACATCACCAGCAGCTGTAACATCCGAGGCGGTCACAACGAGGCGATTGACTTTCAGATCTGCTGGAGAGACATTTACCACTGACTTGCTGAATCCATCATCTGCAGCGTTTCAAAGAAGAGCCTCATTAATCACGTCAACAGTAAGTAATTACATTTTTTTATATTTTATTCCTGGTATTGACTTTAAAAAGAAAAAAAAAAGCTTACAGTAAATCATACTTTCATTTATAGAAAATAGCACGGATAAACAATTTGGTAGTCATTGAAAAAACAGGAATGATGTTACAATTTCCGTCTGTAGTTTGAAAAAAATGAATATCAACAAATGAGAAATGCACATGCTGTTAAGAAACACAACCAAATTACATACAAGTACTTTGATCTAAAACATTTGCTTGTATTTCTGCAGCTTGTACCGTTCTACCAAAGAGCATTTACTGCGTTCCGCACATTAACAGTAACTTCATTCAGGTAATTTGTTCATTTCATTATGACAGGATCTTAAGAGCACTGATCATGAATGTATACGAATAGTACATATTGTTATTTGATTTGCAGGAATGGATCAATCATCAACAACATGGACATTACATTTGCATCAGCTTCTGTTCCTAATGGCACTCAGATTGGAAATGTTTTGATTCAAGCAGCTTCAACCATCACAGCCTTCAATGTTGACCTCAACTCCATTGTTGTGGATGGCTCACGTAAGACATATTAAATAATATCTCCCAAATTTTTTTACATTTTATGTTTTTTATTTGTAAAAGTAATATTTTGTTTTCTTTTCTCATTCATTACAGAGGTTTCAAGTGGAGTAAGCCACAAGATCAGTCTCATCACTGCATCCTTCCTCGTACTGTCGTCATGGATACTGTCAAACCAGCAATAGTATCATCGCTGACTCCTGTTAGAAAAGCCCTGATTGTATGACTGCCATCACTGGTATGACAAATTACTTCTTTATTCTCGTCCAAGGAACCTTGTACATCTTTGGATAAACATATTATCAAATGTAATTTTTGCATTGACCGCACAGCATAATGACAGTGGAATAGATGTGTCTTTTGATCTGAACACGTTTGTGGCTGGGAATGTCCAGGATCATGGACCAAAAACAATATGCAGTCAAATTTAATAAGCCAGATAGAATACCATTTAGCCCTGAGATGTAAAAGAAACAATGTTTATTAGCAATCCCAAATCTAAACAAATACAAATGCCGATATTTGTATTATCATGATATGCATTACTTTGCCTCTTTATTCTATATATTCAAACATCACCTGATAGCTGAAGAGACAAGTCGGTATTAATTCACCTTAAAGTAAAACGGAATCTAGAGCGTTGTTTTGGGAAATGATAGTTATATAAAATTTAATTTAATATTTGATTTTTAAAAATGTGTTGTTTTGATATGTGTGGTCAGGACTTCTACAATCATATCTTTCTCTCTCTACTCACCCTCAAGGTTAGACTTGACTGAAGGTTTGAATTGACTTTAAAGGAATGGAAAAAATGATTGACAATATATTCTCAAATGTCGTTAGTGGCCAAAAAGTGTAAAAATGCATAATTCATCCATTTATTCTATGAGATTTGTTGTTTTCTTTATTTTTGTGAAAACCTTTGCAACAAGCATAATACAAAATCTAAAAAAATGAATTGTCTCTTGTAATAATTTGGCATTTCTCTCGTCAAAACTAACAAATTTGTGTTTATAAGGATGGACATTTAAGACTAATGCCTACATTTCCCATCGCATAACAAAATTCGTTCGTTAACGACCCTTTTTCCGTGACTAAAACGAGACTAAGACGTGACGAAAACGATCTTAAAAAACAAAAACTATGACTAAATCTATTCTAACTTTCGTTAACGAGACGAGACGAGACTGTAAGTGTTGACAAAGTCACAATACTTTTTTCCCCATAAATTCGCACGCAGCTAACAGAAAACAGACAGGCAAAGTACGGCCCCGTACGGCGGATAATAACGTGTCATGATGACGTCATCCACGAACCCAGACGTTCGCTCGCATCGGTGCAGCGGTGGTTCTTGTGCACCGACTACGGACCGCGACGACTATTTTACGCTTCGGCGAGTTTGAATGTGCGCTTTGTTAGTTTAGCTCAGCTGTCTCGGTGCTTCAGAGAAACATGAAGACCCGTTTAACAGGCTGTCGGCCAGCAGAGATCCATGCGGACCTTTCTGCTCTGTTCTCTGGCGACGGCAGGCAGCGTTTCCTCGGCTGGAGGAGACGGTCCGTTACAGGCTTCTCCAAACACGTCTAACGTAATAAAGTCATTGCAGGTTCTGAAGCCTCACGCATTTCAACTATAGTTCACCCGCCACATCGTGAGAAGACGGTGTTAAACCGTCTCGTTCGTTCGTTACTAAGCAACATAGACGCGTGAACACACGTGTAAAATAATGTATTGCACCGATTGTAGGACGTTAAGGTGTCTTTTGTTGGGACGAGCAATTTCACAGTGGAAACAATAAAGGACCATGGAGTTTTCGGTGGCCATGTCAAAAGCATTGCAAGTAAACAGACAAAGACGACAAAGTTGCGTTTAGATCCCTGGTCCTCATGAAGTTGTTACATCTTTGCCAATTTGTTAAATTGTCTTGCAAATAAATGCTTTTCTATTTGCTAAAATCCAAATCCTTTCACGTAATGATTTTTCACATGTCATTTATATTAGCTCACACAAACACTTCTTGGCCCGGCTCCTCCGTCAAATATTACAACCCACTGTGACCCGCGAGTCAAAAAGTTTGCCGACCCCTGATATAGACCTGTCCTAAGAAGGACATCTAATGGACAACCAAGTACTGCAAGCTAGACTATTATGCAGTTGTAGACAAGTTGTAGATTAAATGTGACTAAAACTAATTACATTTTCGTCGACGAAAACTAGACTAAAACTAAGAAAGATTAAAATGACTAAATGTGACTAAAACTAATATGTATTTTCGTCTAAAGACTAAGACTAAGACTAAATCAAAAATACCTGCCAAAATTAACACTGATTCACAGCATGGTACGTGAGCACCAATGTTTTCAAGTGGATGCGAGCAGCAGTGAAGAGAGCGGAGGAGTGGAGTAGTGTGGGAGAATTCCGGAAGGTTAAAGACCAGTCGAGCTGCTGCATTCTGGATGAGCTGCAGAAGTAATGTAATGTCGAATGGCGGTGGCAGGGAGACCTGCCAGGAGAGAGTTACAATAATCAAGGCGGGAGATGACAAGAGCCTGAATCAGTACCTGCACCGCCTTGAGTGAGAAGGGGACGTATTCTCCTGATGTTGTAGAGCAGGGATATTCAACTAAAATGTGATGAGGTCCAGTTAGAGAACTGTAGCCGTGATAGCGCTACCACCGGTGGGTTCTTGTAAGGACGCACGACACAGGATGAGGGTAACCAGACTTTTATTGTCCAAAAGGGAAGACAGTGAGCAGGAATGAGTTCGCACTATGCGCGTGGTCGGTTTCGCCTTGTCCGGCTCTGCTCAGCTCTTGTGCTCTGCTCGCAGGCTCCAGCTCTCTTCCCCCGACCTGGATCCTGCTCACTGTTTAAGTAGGAGAGAATCAGTGCAGATTATTTACACCTGGTTACTCCTCATCTACCAGCACCGTCCCCTGAACCACTCCCCCGCTCTCCCCCCTGCAGCTGAGCTAACCACGCCCCTCCACCACATACCCCCACCGCCCGACTTAGGCCGGGGAGCCATCCGGCCGAACCGACTCCCCCCCCCCTCCCTCCGGAGGGCGGGAAAGGAAGTCCGCCACGACCATCTGCGCCCCCGGCCTATGGATCACCTTGAAGTTAAAAGGCTGTAGAGCCAGATACCACCGAGTGATCCGGGCGTTGGCATCCTTCATGCGGTGGAGCCACTGCAGCGGGGCGTGGTCCGAACAGAGAGTGAACTGGCGTCCCAGGAGGTAGTACCGCAGGGAGTCGACCGCCCACCGGATGGCCAGGCACTCTTTTTCCACCGTACTGTACCTGGCCTCTCTTTCCGACAGCTTCCGGCTGATGTAGAGGACCGGGCGGTCCACCCCCTGCACCTGCTGGGACAAAACGGCCCCCAGCCCTCTGTTCGACGCATCAGTCTGCAAGACAAAAGGGAGAGAGAAGTCAGGTGTATGGAGCAATGGTTCCCCACAGAGGGCTCGTTTCACCCCCTCAACCGCCCACTGGCACCGCTCCGTCCACTGGACCGGATCTGAGGCACCTTTCCGGGTCAGGTCAGTTAAGGGGCTGGTCAGCTCCGCAAAGCCCGGGATGAACCTCCTGTAGTAACCTGCCAGCCCCAAAAACCGCCTCACCTCTTTTTTCGTCTTGGGCCGCGGGCAGGCTGCAATGGCTGCGGTCTTGTCCACCTGCGGGCGCACCCGCCCGCCGCCCAAGTGGTACCCCAGATACCGTAGGAGTTCGTCGACCCGGGGGCATCGGGTAAGCGTCAAACCGTGAGACCGCATTCACCTTGCGATAATCCACACAGAACCTTATTGAGCCATCCTTCTTGGTGACAAGAACGATGGGGCTGCACCAGGCGCTGTTGGACTCTTCTATTACCCCCATCTCCAGCATAGCGGCCAATTCTCGCTGAACCATTTTCTTCTTGTGTTCAGGAAGCCTGTAGGGCCGCGTCCGCACCGTCACGCCCGGGGACGTCTCAATGTGATGCACTATGAGGTCCGTGCGACCTGGCCGGGAGGAGAACACATCATTAAATTGATCTTGCAACCGGGCTATGTCCGCTTGCTGGGCTGCAGAGAGACGGGCGTCGGACGGGAGCCGGGTGGGATCGGTGGACTTTGGGACTTCTGGGCCCAGCTCCTCGCTCTCTGCTACTGCAGACACCAGGGACACGGACTCCGTCTCTCTCCATGCTTTAAGGAGGTTGAGGTGGTAGACCTGCGTGGCTCCCCCTCTGTCAGATCGCACCACCTCGTAGTCGACGTCCCCTACCCGCCGTGTGACCACAAAGGGCCCTTGCCACTTGGCGAGTAGTTTTGAGCTGGAAGAAGGAAGTAATACAAGCACTTTCTCTCCCGGTGTGAATTGTCTCAGCCTGGCCCCTCTGTTGTACAGCCGCTGTTGACGTTCCTGGGCCTGGAGCAAATTCTCACGTGACAACTCACCCAGTGTGTGGAGTTTGGCTCGCAGGTCCAGGACGTACTGAATCTCGTTCTTACCGGGGCTCGGACCCTCTTCCCAGTGTTCCTTAAGCAGGTCGAGCACCCCCCGTGGTCTTCTGCCGAACAGCAGCTCGAAGGGAGAAAATCCCGTGGAGGCCTGGGGGACCTCCCGTACTGCAAACAACAGAGGGTCAAGCCATTTATCCCAATTACGTTCATCGTCGTGAATAAACTTACGAATCATGGATTTCAGTGTCTTGTTCAGCCGTTCCACCAGGCCGTCAGTCTGGGGATGGTATACACTGGTCCGAACGGACTTAACCCCCAACAATTCGTACAGTTCTCGTAGTGTGCGTGACATGAACGAGGTGCCCTGGTCAGTCAGAATCTCTTTCGGGATTCCGACTCGGGAGATGACCTGAAACAGCGCCTGCGCAACACTCTTGGCGGAGATGCTGCGCAACGGCACTGCCTCGGGATATCGAGTTGCGTAATCCACCAGCACCAACACAAAGCGATACCCCCGTGCACTCCGGTGAAATGGCCCGATGAGGTCCATACCTAAGCGTTCGAACGGCAGCTCCATTAACGGCAGCGGACGCAACGGCGCTTTCGGGATGGCCGGCTGGTTCACCAGCTGGCACTGTGGGCAGGATGCACACCAGCGGCGCACATCCGCCCAGATGCCTGGCCAGTAAAATCGGGCTACTATCCCGTCCAGAGTTTTGTCGCTACCCAGGTGGCCCGCCATCGGGTTATAGTGAGCCGCCTGGAAAACTGTTATCCGCGGCGGCTTTTTGGTACCAACAACTGCGTAATTCC